TCTATGTATGTCTCCCAACTCTCTGTATAGCGTGTACGTCTCACACTACATTACAGGTGTACACAGTCTATGTATGTCTCCCAACTCTCTGTACAGCTTATACGTCTCACACTACGTTACAGCTGTACACAGTCTATGTATGTCTCCCAACTCTCTGTATAGCTTGTACGTCTCACACTACCTTACAGCTGTACACAGTCTATGTATGTCTCCCAACTCTCTGTATAGCTTGTACGTCTCACACTACGTTACAGCTGTACACAGTCTATGTATGTCTCCCAACTCTCTGTACAGCTTGTACGTCTGATTCTACGTTACATCTGTACACAGTCTATGTATGTCTCCCAACTCTCCGTATAGCTTGTACGTCTCACACTACGTTACAGCTGTACACAGTCTATGTATGTCTCCCAACTCTCTGTACAGCTTGTACGTCTGATTCTACGTTACAGCTGTACACAGTCTATGTATGTCTCCCAACACTCTGTACAACTTGTACGTCTGATTCTACGTTACAGCTGTACACAGTCTATGTATGTCTCCCAACTCTCTGTATAGCTTGTACGTCTCACACTGCATTACAGCTGTACACAGTCTATGTATGTCTCCCAACTCTCTGTACAGCTTGTACGTCTCACACTACCTTACAGGTGTACACAGTCTATGTATGTCTCCCAACTCTCTGTATAGCGTGTACGTCTCACACTACATTACAGGTGTACACAGTCTATGTATGTCTCCCAACTCTCTGTACAGCTTATACGTCTCACACTACGTTACAGCTGTACACAGTCTATGTATGTCTCCCAACTCTCTGTATAGCTTGTACGTCTCACACTACGTTACAGCTGTACACAGTCTATGTATGTCTCCCAACTCTCTGTATAGCTTGTACGTCTCACACTACGTTACAGCTGTACACAGTCTATGTATGTCTCCCAACTCTCTGTACAGCTTGTACGTCTGATTCTACGTTACATCTGTACACAGTCTATGTATGTCTCCCAACTCTCCGTATAGCTTGTACGTCTCACACTACGTTACAGCTGTACACAGTCTATGTATGTCTCCCAACTCTCTGTACAGCTTGTACGTCTGATTCTACGTTACAGCTGTACACAGTCTATGTATGTCTCCCAACTCTCTGTACAACTTGTACGTCTCACACTACGTTACAGCTGTACACAGTCTATGTATGTCTCCCAACTCTCTGTACAGCTTGTACGTCTGATTCTACGTTACAGCTGTACACAGTCTATGTATGTCTCCCAACTCTCTGTACAGCTTGTACGTCTGATTCTACGTTACAGCTGTACACAGTCTATGTATGTCTCCCAACTCTCTGTACAGTTTATACGTCTCACACTACATTACAGCTGTACACAGTCTATGTATGTCTCCCAACTCTCTGTACAGCTTGTAAGTCTCACACTACGTTACAGCTGTACACAGTCTATGTATGTCTCCCAACTCTCTGTACAGCTTGTACGTCTGATTCTACGTTACAGCTGTACACAGTCTATGTATGTCTCCCAACTCTCTGTATAGCTTGTACGTCTGATTCTACATTACAGCTGTACACAGTCTATGTATGTCTCCCAACTCTCTGTACAGCTTGTACGTCTGATTCTACGTTACAGCTGTACACAGTCTATGTATGTCTCCCAACTCTCTGTACAACTTGTACGTCTCACACTACATTACAGGTGTACACAGTCTATGTATGTCTCCCAACTCTCTGTACAGCTTATACGTCTCACACTACGTTACAGCTGTACACAGTCTATGTATGTCTCCCAACTCTCTGTATAGCTTGTACGTCTCACACTACCTTACAGCTGTACACAGTCTATGTATGTCTCCCAACTCTCTGTATAGCTTGTACGTCTCACACTACGTTACAGCTGTACACAGTCTATGTATGTCTCCCAACTCTCTGTACAGCTTGTACGTCTGATTCTACGTTACATCTGTACACAGTCTATGTATGTCTCCCAACTCTCCGTATAGCTTGTACGTCTCACACTACGTTACAGCTGTACACAGTCTATGTATGTCTCCCAACTCTCTGTACAGCTTGTACGTCTGATTCTACGTTACAGCTGTACACAGTCTATGTATGTCTCCCAACTCTCTGTACAACTTGTACGTCTCACACTACGTTACAGCTGTACACAGTCTATGTATGTCTCCCAACTCTCTGTACAGCTTGTACGTCTGATTCTACGTTACAGCTGTACACAGTCTATGTATGTCTCCCAACTCTCTGTACAGCTTGTACGTCTGATTCTACGTTACAGCTGTACACAGTCTATGTATGTCTCCCAACTCTCTGTACAGTTTATACGTCTCACACTACATTACAGCTGTACACAGTCTATGTATGTCTCCCAACTCTCTGTACAGCTTGTAAGTCTCACACTACGTTACAGCTGTACACAGTCTATGTATGTCTCCCAACTCTCTGTACAGCTTGTACGTCTGATTCTACGTTACAGCTGTACACAGTCTATGTATGTCTCCCAACTCTCTGTATAGCTTGTACGTCTGATTCTACATTACAGCTGTACACAGTCTATGTATGTCTCCCAACTCTCTGTACAGCTTGTACGTCTGATTCTACGTTACAGCTGTACACAGTCTATGTATGTCTCCCAACTCTCTGTACAACTTGTACGTCTCACACTACGTTACAGCTGTACACAGTCTATGTATGTCTCCCAACTCTCTGTACAGCTTGTACGTCTGATTCTACGTTACAGCTGTACACAGTCTATGTATGTCTCCCAACTCTCTGTACAGCTTGTACGTCTGATTCTACGTTACAGCTGTACACAGTCTATGTATGTCTCCCAACTCTCTGTATAGCTTGTACGTCTCACACTGCATTACAGCTGTACACAGTCTATGTATGTCTCCCAACTCTCTGTACAGCTTGTACGTCTCACTCTACCTTACAGGTGTACACAGTCTATGTATGTCTCCCAACTCTCTGTACAGCTTGTACGTCTCACACTACCTTACAGGTGTACACAGTCTATGTATGTCTCCCAACTCTCTGTACAGCTTGTACGTCTCACACTACGTTACAGCTGTACACTGTCTATGTATGTCTCCCAACTCTCTGTACAACTTGTACGTCTCACACTACGTTACAGCTGTACACGGTCTATGTATGTCTCCCAACTCTCTGTATAGCTTGTACGTCTCACACTACGTTACAGCTGTACACAGTCTATGTATGTCTCCCAACTCTCTGTATAGCTTGTACGTCTGATTCTACGTTACAGCTGTACACAGTCTATGTATGTCTCCCAACTCTCTGTACAGCTTGTACGTCTGATTCTACGTTACATTGTACACAGTCTATGTATGTCTCCCAACTCTCTGTACAGCTTGTACGTCTGATTCTACATTACAGCTGTACACAGTCTATGTATGTCTCCACACTCTCTGTACAGCTTGTACGTCTCACACTACGTTACAGCTGTACACAGTCTATGTATGTCTCCCAACTCTCTGTACAGCTTGTACGTCTCACACTACGTTACAGCTGTACACAGTCTATGTATGTCTCCCAACTCTCTGTACAGCTTGTACGTCTGATTCTACGTTACAGCTGTACACAGTCTATGTATGTCTCCCAACTCTCTGTACAGTTTATACGTCTCACACTACATTACAGCTGTACACAGTCTATGTATGTCTCCCAACTCTCTGTACAGCTTGTAAGTCTCACACTACGTTACAGCTGTACACAGTCTATGTATGTCTCCCAACTCTCTGTACAGCTTGTACGTCTGATTCTACGTTACAGCTGTACACAGTCTATGTATGTCTCCCAACTCTCTGTACAGCTTGTACGTCTGATTCTACATTACAGCTCTACACAGTCTATGTATGTCTCCACACTCTCTGTACAGCTTGTACGTCTCACACTACTTTACAGCTGTACACAGTCTATGTATGTCTCCCAACTCTCTGTACAGCTTGTACGTCTCACACTACGTTACAGCTGTACACAGTCTATGTATGTCTCCCAACTCTCTGTACAGCTTGTACGTCTGATTCTACGTTACAGCTGTACTCAGTCTATGTATGTCTCCCAACTCTCTGTACAGTTTATACGTCTCACTCTACATTACAGCTGTACACAGTCTATGTATGTCTCCCAACTCTCTGTACAGCTTGTAAGTCTCACACTACGTTACAGCTGTACACAGTCTATGTATGTCTCCCAACTCTCTGTATAGCTTGTACGTCTCACACAACGTTACAGCTGTACACAGTCTATGTATGTCTCCCAACTCTCTGTATAGCTTGTACGTCTGATTCTACGTTACAGCTGTACACAGTCTATGTATGTCTCCCAACTCTCTGTACAACCTGTACGTCTGATTCTACGTTACAGCTGTACACAGTCTATGTATGTCTCCCAACTCTCTGTACAGCTTGTACGTCTGATTCTACATTACAGCTCTACACAGTCTATGTATGTCTCCACACTCTCTGTACAGCTTGTACGTCTCACACTACGTTACAGCTGTACACAGTCTATGTATGTCTCCCAACTCTCTGTACAGCTTGTACGTCTCACACTACGTTACAGCTGTACACAGTCTATGTATGTCTCCCAACTCTCTGTACAGCTTGTACGTCTGATTCTACGTTACAGCTGTACACAGTCTATGTATGTCTCCCAACTCTCTGTACAGTTTATACGTCTCACACTACATTACAGCTGTACACAGTCTATGTATGTCTCCCAACTCTCTGTACAGCTTGTACGTCTGATTCTACATTACAGCTGTACACAGTGTATGTATGTCTCCCAACTCTCTGTACAGCTTGTACGTCATATTCTACATTACAGCTGTACACAGTCTATGTATGTCTCCCAACTCTCTGTACAGCTTGTACGTCTGATTCTACATTACAGCTGTACACAGTGTATGTATGTCTTGTACGTGTATCACGGTACTGTCTATTCTGCGGCACAGCCACCTGCCCCCCGTATGGAGTGGTGTATGGGTCGAGGTGCATCTGGACCAAGGATAACGACAACGGCAAGGGTATACAAGATAGTCAGGCAATATGCAGGCGGTATGGAGGAAGTCTGGTCACATTCAGCAACATGACGGAGATCCGGAAGATGATGGCCATCACAAAGCTAGGTGAGTCAGCATGAACTGGATAGATAGAAAGATATTATGCAAGGTTTAGATGCATATTTAGACATGTCTTGGTTAACAAGTATTTCGTCTACAAGACAAGAGTATGGAATGAATGAATTGACGATCTACAGGGCGATAGCTATCTTTTGAATGACATCAACGACCAACCTGTCGCTTCCGTCGCTGGCTGCTACGGCAACTTGGGACGTGTAGAGACGGAGCCAAGTTTAAACTGTTCTCTGTTGCACCTTCATCCAAAGAACGTCGTTTTCTACTGAATGTCTGACACTAGCGCAGAGTTTGTTGTGAAGCTTTAGAATATAAACTACTGATCAGATTGCAGCTAAGACACGGAGTGACACGATGGTGTATTGCCCTACCTCTTCTGTAATGTAAGAAAACAACTTGCATTCTGTGAACCTGGGATGAGATCGGTCCAATGAAAGCAATACACTTAATGTATTAGCCTTTGTGTTATCTTCCACGACAAGTCCTCAACATTCAAATCCAAGAAATACTATACTGCGCAAAAAAAGTTAAGCAAAACTCTTTTTATGTTGTACTAAGAAAATCTATATTGATAGATTTATTTTTATTTATAATAGCATTATCTTGTTTTCAAGAATTTTCTTCATTTGTATTGACGTGAAACACCACTGATATTCGTTTTTTTGAGAAACGAGCGTGCAGCCCGCGATGTTTAGTGTCACACAATACGAGGGCAAATGCATTTAGAAATCATTGTGTCCTTCAAACAATGTTGAGACATTCATTAGGAGTAAACGAGTGTCACAAGGAGTGCAGCTCAGATGGGGTACCGACGCGGAATGCCTGGAAACCAACGTCATGAGGCAATGGGAAGGTTGCAAGTTGGACAAACTATCCGTGAAGTTGCTGACTACTTCAATGTGCATTACAGCACCATATCGCATCTGAACCCACGTGGACAGCGAACTGTACAAGATACTGACTACTTTAATGTGCATTACAGCACCATCACTGCAGCCTTCTACATTACCCAGATTGTCAGAAGGGCTGTATTCCTCATAGCAAAGCCGGGTACTCTCCCAATGTGTACTCTCCTGAATTTTGCATTTGTCATCATCATCATCATCATCATCATCATCATCAATGCACAAACTAACCGTAACCGTTACCATGAATTAACCGGTTGATACATTTGTTAAGCTATGACAAGGACTACTATGGATGATAACTTCTTTATTATACATACGCAACCTTTCAGGACTACCTTTTGCTCTTCATCAGGCGAATGGCATGGTGGGACAACATGACAAATCATTTGTATCTCCATGGATTATGTACATTATCATATATTAAGCACCACCCACCAGAAATGACTGGTGTGATTTTTTGATGGAAAAGAGTAGAACACGGTTGTTCTAAATTCTACATTGGTAGTGTAACCTGACATACATCTACAACAAAAGGACATCAGCATTTCCTCTCACTCCTGTTTTTGTAATAAATGAAAGTGTGGCAGTAAATCGAATATACCAGATAGATCTACCATATGTGCATCAAGTGCAATATGGATACCTGTAGACACTGTTGCGATATAATTTATTTATTCTGTCCTTATTAAATATGTCATTTTATCTCATGACCCATAAATGCCCTTACAACACGTGTCGCATCCTGCCGATATCCTGACTTACACTTGACAGCACCTTTTATCATCTGTAGTATTCAGGTCCATTTTTTCAGGCCTGATGTAGCAAATATAATTTGTTTCCATATAATATCTTCCTATGCTCTAATATTTTTCAACATGTGATAAATGCAAATTAATTCCCATAATCATTCAATGTGTATATGATGTTAATGTGCATGAGATATTTTTGAATATATACTGAACAACAAACGTTCCTGTGACATTGAATAAGAATTAATGCAAAGTTATGTTTTTTACCAAACCTGAAACAATTTCGGTTTGCAACAGAAAAGAGACTCCTGTAAGTGTTCAAATGGTTTAATTTGCCATACCGACTTCAGAAAATGCGTGATTTCATAAAAAAAACATGAACATGCCAAAATGTCAAGCAACACATCTTCGTCTCATGGAATGGACCAGGCATCGCACAAAGTCCTGTGGGATATCTGTCCATACCTGCTGGAGCATGTTTCGAAGTTCCTGGAGTGCCTGTGGAACACGTGGTTTTACGTCGAAGGCGCCAATCAATCTCATAACTCATGTGCTCGATTGGTGAGATATCAGGGGAGCGAGCCGGCCGGGGGACGACATTTACGTTGTTTTGTTGAAGAGAATCCCGAACACTCAGGTCGAGCAATATGAGGCCGGGCGTTGTCATGTTGAAAGGTAATGCCTGGGCCATGACGACGCAAAAACGGTCTAACAACAGGGCCGATGATCTCGTCGCGGTAGCGTTGTCCATTGAGATTTGCCTCTACCACTATCAAACGGTTCCTCTGACTCCCTGTAATCACACCCCATACCATAACCCTGCCGCCCCCGAACCGATCTTCTTCAATGACACAATGATTGACGTAACGTTCACCTCGACGACGGTACACTCGAATCCGTCCATAGCTATATGCCTGAGGTGCAAACGAGACTCACCAGTGAATAGAACTTGTCCCAACTGCATGGCCGTCCAGCGTAGACGCTGTCTGCACCACTGTAGACGTGCTTGACGGTGGTTTCCTGTCAAAATGGGACGTCTGGTGGGTTTATCTGGCGACAATCCCTGCACAACTGAGGCGGCGACGTACGGTTTGTGAAGATATTCGTCGAAGGCCAAGGATGCTTCTTGCAGTCACTGTTTCGTAGGTGTGCTGTTCGAATCCAGTTGTTTTGTCGATTATTGGTTACGCGTGGTCTGCAACTCCGAGGATGGTCTCTGACTGCATTCGTCAGTTGCCAACGTTGCCATAAACGCCAAATGGTGTTTCTGTGGACGTTAAATTGTCTTGCAACATCACCTTTACTCATTTCAGCTTGAAGCATACCAATAGCTCGCAGACGCTCATTTTCGGACAGGCGTGGCATTTCGTAATGTTGAATAATTGCGTAATTTTGTTGTTTTTCTGATTGGTTGTTGTCAGCACCATGCTAAACAATGCATATGGAATCCCGTTAACGCATATGTTTTTATATCCATTCTTGGTTTTGAAATGCATGGGGCTTGCATAAAAGTAAACTTTTGCATGGAATGCATGCTTTTCTGTAGCAGTTGCGTTTTTGTGACTTGATTCCATACATGTACTACAGTATTGAAAACCAAACTTTACTTGTTTGAAAAATACACTAAAATATTGGTGTCACAGGAACTTTTGTTGTTGAGTAAAATAGATGATACTGATAATGACTGCTGAATGTCAAGCAAGTGTAAATATACATATATATCAAATATTTTTAAAATGTAATATTATTACATAATGCATTTCAGATGTACATATACATTGAAGTAAAAAAAGAAAACAAATTAACTTTACTGGTTTTTTATGTGGAACTTTGACAAATTTGTGTACTAATTTGATCTTTGTCAAAGCAAACTGGATTTATAGTCAATGGTTTGGTATGATACGTTCACATGTGACAAATACATAAATAAATATTCAACCCGATATTATCTACTCAATGTACTTGCGACATTTTCTCCTTCAGCCTCTATTATGACTTCACAAGAAATGGACAACGCTCAAATAACAATAAGGATAAGCTGATATCAAATAATTTATTTTCAAAAACAGTTACTCTCGAAATATTAATTGACACATATTAACGCCCTGCACCTTTGATATCAAATGGATTAAAGATTTGGTATATTTAGTAAATACATTTGTTCAGAAGGGGGAAAGAGAGAAAAGAGTTGGTATATTTTGTTAATAAAATGATAAAATAGAAGAAATTCTTTTTTTTATATATTTGGTAAAACAATGATAAAAAGGGAAAAGAAAAGAAACGAAAACAAAGAAATAAAGATTTGGCATATTTGGTAAATAAAATGATAAAAAAAAAGAAACAGAAAAAACGTAATTGGTATGTAAGACTTTTACTTCAGAGTACTAAATATGGAACAATATTATCAAAGATAAATATTGCGGGTTCCCCGTCTATATTCATCTCATATTGTTAAATAGGTATATGGGGCAAATGTGCAGCGGTCTATTTCAAGAAATTGAGTAGGTGAAAGACACTTTTCGTGGCATCGACACCATTACATCAGGTGGGCGAACATTTTCATGAATGTGAGAAATAGCTTACAACATATAATTTTCTTCGATTTTTGGTTAAGGCATGTAGAAGTCTGAAGGAGAAGAACCCTCAAATGTTTTTGCGCTCTTAAAAATTGTGAAAAGTGGGCACGCTGAACCCTTGAAAGAGGTATGCCCATTATATATGTTTAGATCCGGGATAATTTAAAAACAGTTAAAAAGCTTCAAATGAATACTCAAATTTCAGATGAGTAAGAGCTTTCAAATTGTCAAACGATAACCGAACCCCGACGACATTTAATAACCGTCGCCATATAGCTGGAATATTGCTGAGTGCGGCGTTAGAGAGCAAGCACATGCAAGCGTGCATACACGCACATCCAATGACGGCCATCACTGACATATTTTAACCCATTGCAAGAAAATTACTCACTTCAATGTTTCCCTTCCAATGTGTTTACATGTTCCTCCAGAACCGAGGAGGAGTGTTATCTCCTTAACATAGACACTTCTAGTTGGGTGTACCGATGCTTAATTCTAATTCTATGTTGACGGCTCCTTAGTGACGGATGTAATTATCGGAGCGACCCGTGTGGAGGTGAACGGCAGCATGACCTACTACTGGCTGGACACAACAACCGAGCCCTTCTTCGCCAGATGGGACAACATAACAGATCAGCTGGAGATAAACCATACATGTCTCGCTTTTATATCTGACGACTTAAGAGCCATCCCGTGCAATTCCTGGATCAGATACCTGTGTGAGAGAGGTAGGTGTTGTTTCTGTAACCCCTGGATCAGATACCTGAGAGAGATGTGGGTGTTTTTTCTGTAACCCCTGGATCAGATACCTGTGTGAGAAAGGTAGGTGTTGTTTCTGTAACCCCTGGATCAGATACCTGCATGAGAGAGGTAGGTGTTTTTTCTGTAACCCCTGGATCAGATACCTGTGTGAGAGAGGTAGGTGTTGTTTCTGTAACCCCTGGATCAGATACCTGTGTGAGAGATAGGTGTTGTTTCTCTAACCCCTGGATCAGATACCTTTGAGAGAGAGGTAGGTGTTGTTTCTGTAACCCCTGAATCAAATACCTGCCTGAAAGAGGTAGGTGTTGTTTCTGTAACCCCTGGATCAGATACCTGTGTGAGAGGTAGGTGTTGTTTCTGTAACCCCTGGATCAGATACCTGTGTGAGAGGTAGGTGTTGTTTCTGTAACCCCTGGATGAGATACCTGTGTGAGAGGTAGGTGTTGTTTCTGTAACACCTGGATCAGATACCTGTGTGAGAGAGGTAGGTGTTGTTTCTGTAACCCCTGGATCAGATACCTGTGTGAGAGAGGTAGGTGTTGTTTCTGTAACCCCTGGATCAGATACCTGTGTGAGAGAGGTAGGTGTTGTTTCTGTAACCCCTGGATCAGATACCTGTGTGAGAGATGGGTAGGTGTAATTTCTGTAACCCCTGGATCAGATACCTTTGAGAGAGGGGCAGGTGTTGTTTCTGTAACCCCTGGATCAGATACCTGTGTGAGATGGGTAGGTGTTGTTTCTGTAACCCCTGGATCAGATACCTGTGTGAGGGAGTTGGGTGTTGTTTCTCTAACCCCTGGACCAGATACCTGTGTGAGAGGTAGGTGTTGTTTCTCTAACCCCTGGATCAGATACCTGTGTGAGATGGGTAGGTGTTGTTCGTGTAACCCAGACCAGAGACTTGTGTGTGAGAGGTAGGTGTTATTTTTGTAACCCCTGGATCAGAAACCTGTGTGTTTTCCACATTGGTAACTGTAGAATACTAAACGTATTGATGTGGGCCCTGGCCTAACGACACATATACACAAATACACTCGTTATTCGTTAACAGTAACAGAGTGGGATTTGTCTGCTCTTGTTGAACTTATTTCTCTCCGTGAAACACGAGAATGGTATTTTGCTTCAAGTATTGCTTCTTCTTGTCAGGTGATCGGGCAGCTTCACCTTGTCCTTATCATCAGAAGGTACATACATATGGGTAATGTCATCAAGTCCTTGCTATCTGATACCACAGAAGGCACATACATATGGGTAATGTCATCAAGTCCTTGCTATCTGATACCACGGAAGGCACATACATATGGGTAATGTCATCAAATCGTAGCCATCTGATACCACGGAAGGCACATACATAAGAGTGATATCACCTAGTCCTAGTCACATGATACCACAGAAGGCAGGTATCCAGGTACTAGTATCTGCTCAAATGCGGTTTTATTTGTTCCCCAACCAGTGGATCCGTTTGTATTCCAGTTATCATTCTCAACTCCTTCGGGAGTATACAACCCAAGCTGCCTACGAGACCGAGAGAAATTTCACATCCACCTCACATATTAAGTATCTATTCCCTGCTGAGTGAACAGAGGCACATGTGAACTAAATAACTTGACCAGGGTTACATCACATATTTTGACAATTGTGTTTCCACCATCTGGTCAGCTACCATCGGACGCGTCCTCGTCATCTTACATTACAGACGGTACAGACATGTAATTTTATCCACAACATATTATTTGTAATCTTCTCTCAAACATGTTATGCCTTACTGTATTTTCGTGACATTGAAATGATTACTTTGCAATGGTAAATGTTCCGATTTCTGAATGTTGACAGCCAGTTCAGTTGTGATTATCTTTCACACGTCGCACACCATGTTCACTCAACATAATATGTCAAAACTCAGAACCTAGTGATGTCACTGTTATCAGATATGAGCGCCCCCCTGCCCTCGTCGAGCGGCTCCACTAACACGGCCTCTACCACAACGCCTGGGTGTGTCACCGTTATGCCCGGGGCAGGCTGTGGGGAGACCTTCATCACCCCCAGATATGAAGCCAACACACCCACCATCGCCTATGTCACCACCCCCACAAGGTCAACATCGACTGCTACGGACACAACACCTTGTAGCACCACTGATGTAACCATGACAACCACAGATGACAGAACTACGCAATTTAGAAAATCGCAGGTGCTTCACACATTGACATTGTTCACATCTATGGTCCAATCTGTAGTCAATCTAACACATTGAAATATATTTCTGAATATCCTGTCTAAATACTCCCGTATTTTTTACATGGAAATCAATATAATTAATATCCTACAGATTTCCCTGTGTTAATTTGCTGTGGGCCACCGTTGTCATGCATTGGTCAATAATTTGATTATGTCTTCCAACACGACACTAACATCATGCACACGCAGTATTGTCATGAACTACCGAAGGACGGACATGTCCGATGTGATTGGATGGATGGATTGGTAACTTAACTTCGACGTATAGTACTCTGGGTAGGTATGACCCATGGATGATATTAAATATTATTTTCGACTGCTGCAGATCCCTAATAAGGAGATGGAGGATACGCTGGCTAACATCACTTCGTCACCAATTTCCAACATGTCCGACGTTGAGGTGAAGGCCCTGGTCACACAGTTCAGTAGAGTTGTTTCTAACGTTGGCGCTGCAAGCCAATCTGATGTCCGAAAAATGACGGATGCAATAGTCAAGTTATCAGCAATGGAAACATGTGATAAAAATACCTTTCAGGTAAATATATGACAGCGAGTGAATCCAGTCATAGACACTAATTTAAATATAAAGCACTAGTTTTAGAACATTGTTCTACATAGTCGATTCCGCCGTCTGAACGTTTGGCTTGGACATGCAGTCGAACCTCAATGTGTCGAACTTCGATATCTCAACTATCCAAATTAAGCATACAATTTTCCTGATGTTTTGAAGCCCGGATAACTCGAACTTTATTTCAGGTTCCCACAAGCTCGACACAGCGAGGTTCGATAGTATATATTTGTATGACAATGAAAAAATCCTAGTTTCCATTTGTATTGACAGTGAAACCCTGATGAAGGGACCTGGATTCTTCTTAACATTGATGTGAGACATATATAACTTACATAATAGTCACGATGTTTTCAGTCTGTATTTCATCTTTAAATTTAATTCTAAATGAACATTGAATAAGTTTTAACATTTTCACCCCAGAACACAATTTGATGTGTATTACCTTTTAAGAGCTCCTTAGCGAGATGAACTTAATGTAAACCCAGTATGGTTTAGGGATTTACAGGGCTGTTATTGCCGGGTTGGCATATGCACTTGTTTTTCAATTGTGTATTGACGGCTTAATCAGAAGTACGTTTACAACCACACCGACAGCTATTCAACTTATCATGTCGAATTTACTATGTAACGTGTCTCTGGGGACCAAGGGAATGTAGCTAGATATCAAGTGTTTCGACATCAGATTTAAAATAATGATTATTGTATAAAACGAAGAGAAGTTATGGATATCAACGTCTTTATCACGAGGAACACAACTAGATAATTAGCACCGACAATGATCAAAGCAACAAATCCCAAGCAATGGGCAGATATGATCCCTTGTCACGGTTCATGGCTGGATGTTTCTTGTTGTTGTTGGTAGACAGGACTTAGGTGGCTTCCTACATGAAGATTGGTTCTTGATGAGGTAGTCGGAAATAGCGGACTTCTGGTTTAGTTTGTTGACAGAGGTCTGGTGTTCTTTGAATCTGGTGTTGAGGGATCTGAGGGTTTCTCCAATGTATTGGTGGCCACAGTTGCAGGGGATCTAGTACATACATCCTCTAGGATTGGGACTTGCGCTGCTTGTGCCTCTGCTATTGATGGGTCTTGATGGACTTGCCGCTGGAAAAGGTGACATTATGTTGGCTTTGCTCTTGATGAGGTGGGAATTCTGATAAGTGACAGGGCCGTTGTGGGGTATGGTGATTCTCATGGGTGATGGGGAAGGTTTGGGCCTGGGATCGGAGTTCTTGAGGGTTTTGCGGATGATTGTGGAAACTAGGAGGGCAGGGTAAATGTTGAGGGAAGTGAAGGTTTCCTTGAGATGGTCCAGTTCACTGCTGTTGGCATCAGGGTGGCAAGTGGATGCTGTTGTTGTGTTCGCCATAATAAATATGTTGACATTCAATAATTCTCTTCCTTATGTGTATCACTTCTAAATGCCTTTAAAAGACTTGATATTGTGAGAATGCCGGGAATAAAGGGAAGTATCTACATAAGAGGTATTTCAACTTATAAGGTTTCTCCTAGCGAGAATCCATTGTATATTCCTTTAAGGCATTCAATTCGTCACGGAAACTATACTGTCCGGTTATTCTCCTAGTATCAGCATCGTACGCATTAAGGTGTACAGTGCGACCTCCGTGTACACTGTTGGACTTGTGTTCAGATGTATGCCACAAGCGTGTCGACCGTCCTGACCATGATGGAGCCACATCAGGAGCAGGACAATGACGGCGTGGCACGGGACGGACAGGTCAGGCAACGTGTGGTCCACACGGTGGAGGTTTGGGATGTGTTTCATGATAGTGTGAGAGGTCGAACAATTGTGAAAGGAGCTGTGTGCATAGATTTATGTACTTCATTTGGAAGTGTGCATGTATGGATGTATTTGGAGGTGAATGTGAATGTGGATGTGTATACTGTTGTGGATGCGTGTTAGGGGTTGTGATTGCGTATGTGTATGGAAATGTGGGGATGGATGTGCAAGTGTATGTGGATGTATAGATGGATGTGGATTTACAGGAGGATGTGTAGGTGGATGTTGACGTTTCGGTGGATATGGATGAATATGTGGATGTGGATATGTAGGTGAATGTGGATGTGTAGGTGGGTGTGTAGATGGATGTGTAGATGGTTGTGTAGGTGGATGTGGATGTGAAGCTGGATGTATAGGTGGATGTGTAGATGGTTGTGTAGATGGTTGTGTAGGTGGATGTGGATGTGAAGCTGGATGTATAGGTGGTTGTGTAGATGGTTGTGTAGGTGGATGTGGATGTGTAGATGGTTGTGAAGATGGTTGTGTAGGTTGATGTGGATGTGTAGGTGGATGTGTAGATGGATGTGTAGATGGATGTGTAGGTGGATGTGTAGGTGGATGTGTAGATGGATGTGTAGATGGATGTGTAGATGGTTGTGTAGGTAGATGTGGATGTGGATGTGTAGATGGATGTGTAGATGGTTGTGTAGATGGATGTATAGGTGGATGTGGATGTGTAGGTGGATGTATAGGTGGATGTGTAGATGGTTGTGTAGATTGTTGTGTAGATGGATGTGGATGTGTAGATGGTTGTGTAGATGGGTGTTTAGATGGTTGTGTAGGTGGATGTGGTTGTGTAGGTGGATGTGGATGTGTAGGTGGATGTGTAGATGGTCGTGTAGATGGTTGTGAAGGTGGATGTGGATGTGTAGATGGATGTGTAGATGGTTGTGTAGATGGTTGTGTAGATGGATGTGTGTGCGGATGTGTAGATGGTTGTGTAGATGGATGTGTAGATGGTTGTGTAGGTGGATGTGGATATGGATGTGTAGATGGATGTGCAGATGGTTGTGTAGATGGATGTGTAGAAGGTTGTGTAGGTGGATGTGGATGTGTAGATGGATGTGTAGATGGATGTGTAGAAGGTTGTGTAGGTGGATGTGTAGATGGTTGTGTAGATGGATGTGGATGTGTAGATGGTTGTGTAGATGGGTGTTTAGATGGTTGTGTAGGTGGATGTGGTTCTGTAGGTGGATGTGGATGTGTAGGTGGATGTGTAGATGGTCGTGTAGATGGTTGTGAAGGTGGATGTGGATGTGTAGATGGATGTGTAGATGGTTGTGTAGATGGTTGTGTAGATGGATGTGTGTGCGGATGTGTAGATGGTTGTGTAGATGGATGTGTAGATGGTTGTGTAGGTGGATGTGGATATGGATGTGTAGATGGATGTGTAGATGGTTGTGTAGATGGATGTGTAGAAGGTTGTGTAGGTGGATGTGGATGTGTAGATGGATGTGTAGATGGATGTGTAGAAGGTTGTGTAGGTGGATGTGTAGATGGTTGTGTAGATGGATGTGGATGTGTAGATGGTTGTGTAGATGGGTGTTTAGATGGTTGTGTAGGTGGATGTGGTTGTGTAGGTGGATGTGGATGTGTAGGTGGATGTGTAGATGGTTGTGTAGATGGTTGTGTAGATGGATGTGTGTGCGGATGTGTAGATGGTTGTGTAGATGGATGTGTAGATGGTTGTGTAGGTGGATGTGGATGTGTAGATGGATGTGTAGATGGTTGTGTAGATGGTTGTGTAGATGGATGTGTGTGCGGATGTGTAGATGGTTGTGTAGATGGATGTGTAGATGGTTGTGTAGGTGGATGTGGATATGGATGTGTAGATGGATGTGTAGATGGTTGTGTAGATGGATGTGTAGAAGGTTGTGTAGGTGGATGTGGATGTGTAGATGGATGTGTAGAAGGTTGTGTAGGTGAATGTGTAGATGGTTGTGTACGTGGATGTGGATGTGTAGGTGGATGTGTAGAAGGTTGTGTAGGTGGATGTGGATGTGGATGTGTAGGTGGATGTGTAGGTGTATGTGTAGATGGATGTGTAGATGGATGTGTAGGAGGATGAGGATGTGGTTGTGTAGATGGATGTGTAGATGGTTGTGTAGGTGGATGTGTAGATGGATGTGTAGATGGATGTGTAGATGGTTGTGTAGATGGATGTGTAGATGGTTGTGTACGTGGATGTGGATGTGTAGGTGGATGTGTAGAAGGTTGTGGATGTGGATGTGGATGTGTAGGTGGATGTGTAGATGGATGTGGATGTGGTTGTGTAGATGGATGTGTAGAAGGTTGTGCAGGTGGATGTGTAGACGGTTGTGTAGGTGGATGTGGATGTGGATGTGTAGGTGGATGTGTAGATGGATGTGTAGATGGATGTGTAGGAGGATGTAGATGTGGATGTGTAGATGGATGTGTAGATGGTTGTGTAGGTGGATGTGGATATGGATGTGTGGGTGGATGTGTAGATGGATGTGTAGATGGATGTGTAGATGGTTGTGTAGATGGATGTGTAGATGGTTGTGTAGGTGGATGTGTAGATGGATGTGTAGATGGATGTGTAGATGGTTGTGTAGATGGATGTGTAGATGGTTGTGTACGTGGATGTGGATGTGTAGGTGGATGTGTAGAAGGTTGTGGATGTGGATGTGGATGTGTAGGTGGATGTGTAGATGGATGTGGATGTGGTTGTGTAGATGGATGTGTAGAAGGTTGTGTAGGTGGATGTGGATGTGTAGATGGATGTGTAGATGGATGTGTAGAAGGTTGTGCAGGTGGATGTGTAGACGGTTGTGTAGGTGGATGTGGATGTGGATGTGTAGGTGGATGTGTAGGTGGCTGTGGATGTGTAGATGGATGTGTAGGTGTATGTGTAGATGGATGTGTAGACGGTTGTGTAGGTGGATGTGGATGTGGATGTGTAGGTGGATGTGTAGGTGGATGTGTAGATGGTTGTGTAGATGGATGTGTAGATGGATGTGTAGGAGGATGTAGATGTGGATGTGTAGATGGATGTGTAGATGGTTGTGTAGGTGGATGTGGATATGGATGTGTGGGTGGATGTGTAGATGGATGTGTAGATGGATGTGTAGGAGGATGTGGATGTGGATGTGTAGATGGTTGTGTAGGTGGATGTGTAGATGGATGTGTAGATGGATGTGTAGATGGATGTGTAGATGGATGTGTAGAAGGTTGTGTAGATGGATGTGTAGGAGGATGTGGATGTGGATGTGGATGTGTAGATGGATGTGTAGATGGCTGTGGATGTACAGGTGGATGTATAAGTGGATGTGTAGGAGGATGTGGATGTGGATGTGGATGTGTAGATGGATGTGTAGATGGATGTGTAGGAGGATGTGGATGTGGATGTGTAGATGGTTGTGTAGGTGGATGTGGATGCGGATGTGTAGGTGGATGTGTAGGTGGATGTGTAGATGGATGTGTAGATGGTTGTGTAGATGGTTGTGGATGTGGATGTGTAGAAGGATGTGTAGGTGGATGTGTAGATGGATGTGTAGATGGTTGTGTAGGTGGATGTGGATTTGGATGTGTCGGTGGATGTGTAGATTGTTGTGGATGTGTAGGTGGATGTGTAGGTGAATGTGGATATGTAGGTGGCTGTGGATGTGTAGGTGGATGTGTAGATGGATGTGTAGATGGTTGTGTAGATGGTTGTGTAGGTGGCTGTGGATGTGTAGGTGTATGTGTAGATGGATGTGTAGATGGTTGTGTAGGTGGCTGTGGATGTGTAGGTGGATGTGTAGATGGTTGTGTAGATGGTTGTGTAGATGGTTGTGTAGGTGGCTGTGGATGTACAGGTGGATCTTTAGGTGGATGTGTAGATGGTTGTGTAGATGGTTGTGTAGGTGGCTGTGGATGTGTAGATGGATGTGTAGATTGTTGTGGATGTGTAGGTGGATGTGTAGATGGATGTGTAGATGGTTGTGTAGATGGATGTGTAGATGGATGTACAGGTAGATGTGAATGTGGATGTGTAGGTGTATGTGTAGGTGTATGTGTAGATGGTTGTGTAGATGGATGTGTAGATGGATGTGTAGGAGGATGTGGATGTGGATGTGTAGATGGATGTGTACATGGTTGTGTAGGTGGATGTGGATATGGATGTGTGGGTGGATGTGTAGATGGATGTGTAGATGGTTGTGTAGGTGGATGTGGATATGGATGTGTAGATGGATGTATAGGTGGATGTGTAGATGGTTGTGTAGATGGTTGTGTAGGTGGCTGTGGATGTGTAGATGGATGTGTAGATTGTTGTGGATGTGTAGGTGGATGTGTAGATGGATGTGTAGATGGTTGTGTAGATGGATGTGTAGATGGTTGTGTAGATGGATGTGTAGATGGTTGTGTAGATGGTTGTGTAGATGGATGTGTAGATGGTTGTGTAGATGGATGTGTAGATGGTTGTGTAGATGGATGTGTAGATGGATGTGTAGATGGATGTGTAGGTGGATGTGGATGCGTAGATGGATTTGTAGATGGTTGTGTAGATGGATGTGTAGATGGTTGTGTAGATGGATGTACAGGTGGATGTGTAGGTGGATGTGTAGATGGATGTGTATGTGGATGTGTAGATGGATGTGTAGATGGATGTGTAGATGGTTGTGTAGATGGTTGTGTAGATGGTTGTAGAGGTGGATGTGTAGGTGGATGTGTAGATGGTTGTGTAGATGGATGTGTAGATGGATGTACAGGTGGATGTGTAGGTGGATGTGTAGATGGATGTGTAGGTGGATGTGTAGATGGATGTGTAGATGGTTGTGTAGATGGTTGTGTAGATGGTTGTGTAGATGGATGTGTAGATGGATGTACAGGTAGATGTGAATGTGGATGTGTAGGTGTATGTGTAGGTGTATGTGTAGATGGATGTGTAGATGGATGTGTAGGAGGATGTGGATGTGGATGTGTAGATGGATGTGTACATGGTTGTGTAGGTGGATGTGGATATGGATGTGTGGGTGGATGTGTAGATGGATGTGTAGATGGTTGTGTAGGTGGATGTGGATATGGATGTGTAGATGGATGTATAGGTGGATGTGTAGATGGTTGTGTAGATGGTTGTGTAGGTGGCTGTGGATGTGTAGATGGATGTGTAGATTGTTGTGGATGTGTAGGTGGATGTGTAGATGGATGTGTAGATGGTTGTGTAGATGGATGTGTAGATGGTTGTGTAGATGGATGTGTAGATGGTTGTGTAGATGGTTGTGTAGATGGATGTGTAGATGGTTGTGTAGATGGATGTGTAGATGGTTGTGTAGATGGATGTGTAGATGGATGTGTAGATGGATGTGTAGGTGGATGTGGATGCGTAGATGGATTTGTAGATGGTTGTGTAGATGGATGTGTAGATGGTTGTGTAGATGGATGTACAGGTGGATGTGTAGGTGGATGTGTAGATGGATGTGTATGTGGATGTGTAGATGGATGTGTAGATGGATGTGTAGATGGTTGTGTAGATGGTTGTGTAGATGGTTGTACAGGTGGATGTGTAGGTGGATGTGTAGATGGTTGTGTAGATGGATGTGTAGATGGATGTACAGGTGGATGTGTAGGTGGATGTGTAGATGGATGTGTAGGTGGATGTGTAGATGGATGTGTAGATGGTTGTGTAGATGGTTGTGTAGATGGATGTACAGGTGGATGTGTAGGTGGATGTGTAGATGGATGTGTAGGTGGATGTACAGGTGGATGTGTAGGTGGATGTGTAGATGGATGTATAGGTGGATGTGTAGGTGGATGTGTAGATGGTTGTGTAGATGGATGTGTAGATGGTTGTGTAGATGGTTGTGTAGATGGATGTGTAAATGGATGTGTAGATGGATGTGTAGATGGATGTGTAGATGGATGTGTAGATGGTTGTGTAGATGGATGTGTAGATGGTTGTGTATGTGGATGTATAGGTGGATGTGTAGATGGATGTGTAGGTGGATGTGTAGATGGATGTGTAGATGGTTGTGTAGATGGTTGTGTAGATGGATGTACAGGTGGATGTGTAGGTGGATGTGTAGATGGATGTGTAGGTGGATGTACAGGTGGATGTGTAGGTGGATGTGTAGATGGATGTGTAAATGGATGTGTAGATGGATGTGTAGATGGATGTGTAGGTGGATGTGTAGATGGATGTGTAGGTGGATGTGTAGATGGATGTGTAGATGGATGTGTAGATGGATGTGTAGATGGATGTGTAGATGGTTGTGTAGATGGATGTGTAGATGGTTGTGTAGGTGGATGTATAGGTGGATGTGTAGATGGATGTGTAGGTGGATGTGTAGATGGATGTGTAGGTGGATGTATAGATGGATGTGTAGGTGGATGTGTAAATGGATGTGTAGATGGATGTGTAGATGGATGTGTAGGTGGATGTGTAGATGGATGTGTAGGTGGATGTGTAGATGGATGTATAGGTGGATGTGTAGATGGATGTGTAGGTGGATGTGTAGGTGGATGTGTAGATGGATGTACAGGTGGATGTATAGGTGGATGTGTAGGTGGATGTGTAGGTGGATGTGTAGATGGATGTGTAGATGGTTGTGGATGTGTAGATGGTTGTGTAGATGGATGTGTAGATGGTTGTGTAGATGGATGTGTAGATGGTTGTGGATGTGTAGGTGGATGTGTAGATGGATGTGTAGGTGGATGTGGATGTGTAGGTGTATGTGTAGATGGATGTGTAGGTGGATGTGGATGTGTAGGTGGATGTGTAGATGGATGTGTAGATGTATGTGTAGATGGTTGTGTAGATGGATGAGTAGATGGTTGTGGATGTGTAGGTGGATGTGTAGATGGATGTGGATACGTAGGTGGATGTGTAGGTGGATGTGTAGATGGATGTGTAGATGTTTGTGTAGGTGGATGTGGATGTGTAGGTGGATGTGTAAATGGTTGTGTAGATGGTTGTGTAGGTGGCTGTGGTTGTGTAGGTGGATGTGTAGATGGTTGTGTAGATGGTTGTGTAGGTTGATGTGGATGTGTAGGTGGATGTGTAGATGGATGTGTAGGTGGATTTGGATGTGTAGGTGGATGTGTAGATGGTTGTGTAGGTGTATGTGGATGTGTAGGTGGATGTGTAGATGGTTGTGTAGGTGTATGTGGATGTGTAGATGGATGTGTAGATGGATGTGTAGATGGTTGTGTAGGTGGTTGTGGATGTACAGGTGAATGTGGATGTATCGATGAATGAGGATGTATTGGTTGATGTGGATGTATAGGTGGATGTGTATGCGGATGTGTTGGTGGTAGTGTGGATGAATGTGGATGTGTCAGTGCATGCAGACGTTGGCGAATGTGGATGTGTAGGTGAATGTGTCGGTGCATGACAACGTGGATGTGTTGTAGGAAGTCAGGATGTATAGATGGATGTGGATTTACAGGTGGATGTGTAGGTGGATGTTGATGTTTCGGTGGATGGTGATGAATTGGTGGATGGGGATGTATAGGTGAAAGTATAGGTGAAGGAGGATGTAGAAGTAGATATGGATATGTAGGTGGATCTGGATGTGTAGGTGGGTGTGTAGATGGTTGTGTAGGTGGATGAATAGGTGTAAGCGGATGTGTTGGTGGAAGTGTGGATGAATGTGATTGTGTCGGTGCATGCAGAAGTTTAAGTGTAGGTGGATGTGGATGTGTAGGTGAATGTGTCGGTGGATGTAGACATGGATGTGTTGTGGCAGTGTGGATGGATGTGGAGGTATATCTGTGAGATGACTGGAGGATAAGACTGAGAAGATGGAGGTTAATTGTCATGTGGAAGTGTGTTAGGAGTGTGGGATTAAATGTGTACGATGGATATGTCATGTTATTATGATTGTACCACTTACGTACACTTATGCTAACGTTATGCAATCTATTTAGCCTGATGCAATTCTGGAAGCCATGGAGCATGTGCTGTTCGCGACGAGGATATTATCAATGGAGGAGATGTATGACAGCTTCTGTAAGTAGTATCCAATGTGTCATATACAGGTAGACAATGTAGCTATATGCTTTAACACACATTGAAAAAATACCCGTTTCATTAGATATGTATCAGTGAGTTAGGTTTGTATGTACGCAGGTATCCAGATCGTATCATTCAATGGCAGCCAGGACGAACTGGACATCCATGAGGGGAACTACTCTGATCACATACAACTATCATCCTCGGTGACTGCCGGATATGGTAAATAGACCTGACACCTGAAATGAACCTGACATATATATTTTATATATCATATAAATAATCAACAGATGGTAATCGATTGTTCACAATTGGCGCACATCATTGTCATTGACTCAGGTTTCATATGGCACAGATGGAACAGTAGATTGTCAAGGTGAAGGTAATTTGTTCTCAATATCTTTTATGGCCACTATTAGAGTCTAGGAGTGACTGGCATCATCTACCCATGGAAGTAATCAGATCCCGAATTGTGGCATGGGAAATGTTCACCCACTCTGCCTGCAGTGCTTGTGCCAACTATCGGAGGTTCTGTGTGCTAAAGTGTTCGCAGTCGTTGATCCAGTGCATCCTATAAATGTTTGGGGTAAATACTTGGAGGGCCATGACAGGACCTTGATGTTGTGATTCCTGAAAAAAGACTGTTGTCAGTCTTGCCATGTGAAGCTGGGCGTTGTCTTGTTGGAAAATGACGTTCGCTTGTTGCATAATGGGAAGGACGTGTGGTCGAAAAATCTCACCTGTTTAACGTTGTGCCGTTAAATTCCCCAGAACTTGCAAAAGCATAGGATAGGAGATGGTCGCCCACATCATCGTACTACCACCATCAAATCTGCCCACTTCCTGTATGCAGTTTCGTACACAGCCTGTAAAAACGACGTCTACCATCCGCCCGGTGAAGCATTAAACTGGTCTCCATCGCAGTTGTGGCCAAACTCTGTGATCTTGACACCATTGACGCTGCAGCCGACATTACGGGTCCGTCAAAATGACATCTCGAACTGGTCGTCTAGCGCGAATACCTACAGCGTGTAAACGGTTCCTTATTGTCTGGGGTGATATTTTAAGCAATCCTGGTATTTCTGTCGTTGTAGAAGTTGCCGTGGTGATTCTTTCACGTACACGACGTAGCCTTTTGAATCTGCCCTGTTCTCTAGTAGTGATACGTGGTCGACCGGATCTGGTAAGGTCCCGTGCGTCTGATAACGGTTCCACAGTTTTGTAATGACTGGAAAACGTTTGCTTAGTGGAAAACCCTTGCTACAGCTAAAGGTGACACTCGTTTGCAGTCGGCCAATGGCGTTGTTGCGTTGGGCTTCCTTTCGTCAGTCGTGGAATGTTTTCGCCGTTCTCTTGCTATAAGATTGTGATGGCATACAAATAACGATGCAAATAAGTGATGTTGTACGTGCATGTCATGTTGGTGTGTTTCGGCGCCAGGCTCTCACGTGGTTATGTTCTTGTAATTTTCCCATCTTTTCACCAAATTTCTGCGGTACCTCGTTCCTTCCACACAAATCAATCCCAATCCATGACCAATTCGTGTTTGGTATTATTGTTGTATCGATGTCGGTAACACCAAGTCAGATATTAACGATTTTACAACATTTTTGTTTCTTTTTGTGTGTGCAGAGTATGTGTATAGAATGTAACCTCACTTGTACCTTTTATTGTGTATCTACTGTAAATATTAGCGACTCTTCACTTATGCAATCAAACACATGACTACCGTATAGGGACGGCGATGACCACCATCACACTTCTCACGTCCCCCCTTGTTGACTGCTTCCGTGATTTTGACCAGGGCGAATATCCACTGTTGTATACCAGAACCTGCACCGGAAGATGTCAAAAAGGAGCCGGAAGTACCGAAAGGCCAAGCTGGGGAGCAAGGTCATCTCTGTGGCTGTGCAAGATGCGAAGTCCCCTCACAAGACGAAAGTAGAAACACCAAACGCAATCAACTTCACAGTCGCACGAGTTGACAGAAAGGTTTTCAGTAGTTTATGTGTATACGTAAAGAGTACCAACACATATTCTTAATGCAGAAATCTAGAATATACCCTTTTAGCCATGTTGATGACGCTAAAAAAAGTAATTGCTTGGGAAATACTGACTCATAATATGTAAAGTCTATATGTATATTTGTCTGTTGCATAATATATATGTGTGTCTGGCAGGGCGAGGAGGAGAAAACGCGCATCTGTGCTTTCTGGAACACCCACGAGGCTGAATGGTCAGATATCGGGTGTCATCTACTGAGTCAGAATAAAACCCACACGACCTGCTCGTGCGACCATCTCACAAGCTTCGCTGTTCTTGTCCTGTACTACAATGATGATAAAGTAAGTTATTTGTGTCAATTATATGATATATGGCACAAAATGGAAATAAATCACTCAACTACAAAGAATTCCTTGCCCTGCATGGAACACAATGGTAAATAGGACATGGAGCTATCCTACTTCCAAATAATAATTTCTGGTCTTGCGACACGAATACTGTTCACATATTCACAGTTTTGAAATTGCTTAATGAACTGATAAATGAGATCGACCTCTGTCTTTAGTTATCTGACATCAACGAACGAGTGCTGTACATCCTGTCAGCGGTAGGATGTAGTTTGTCCATCCTGGGGCTGGCCATGACCCTCTTCAGCTTCACCTATCTCAGGTACTGGTGTGCAAGAACCCTCTCTCGCATGTAACGTAATCTGCATGTTTATCTGATGCCCGTGCAGGACGTAATTAATGCCTCTTTAAAATACATTGCATCATAAGCATCGACAGACTGATAATTAACACTACAAATGCATACTTCAAACATTGTAACTAACAAACTGCCTGTAATACAGGATGCTGCATCGGGAGCGGATCTTGATCCATGCAAATCTTGCAGGTTCTCTGATGTTTGCTCAGATTATCTTTGTTGCTTCAAGTGACGCCCACAAGAGTCAGGTAAGCCTTCTTCCACCCACCGATTCGTTCTTGACTACCTACAGCATGACTGTCATGTATCTGTTATCATCAACGGTCCAAGGATGACTTTGCCATTTTAAGCGCTTGACTACACATTTTCCTGGTACAAAAGAATAGTTTGTGTATGGTCTTGAATTTGTCACTTCCTTGTTTGTGACAGACATATGAATATGAATCCCGATAGGGAATTGACGGTTGCCCTGTCCAAGCATCATTTTATTCGACTACGAATGCTAATCATGTGCTTTTACAGAATCAAGTCATTGCATTGCTACCTTGTTCCTCCCGCACTGTAGGTTCTGTGCAAGGTGGTGGCGATCTTGATGCACTTCTTCTTCATGGCCGGCTTTACGTGGATGATGCTTGAAGGACTTTGTCTTTATCTCAGCTGTCTGCGAAGTCACCACATTTACGGTGACATGCGCCTCAAATACGCAGTCATCGGCTGGGGTGTCCCGATCATCATTGTCATCCTCTCCGTAGGTATACAGTTCCCCCACTACGGCGATGGCCCCGGGGACAGGTGGGTGATACGAGATTACGGTGCTCAGTATGCATAGTGTCGAATGCAGTGTGCTGTTCATTGTGAATGGTAGGTTGTGTCGTTGAATGATGATTGTTAATGTGTGTGTGATTGGATATGGTTAAGCGTATGGTATGTGATGATATGTAATTTATGGCAGCGTCTAATAACGTTGGATTGAAAAGAAATGGGTACACAGTTGCTGGAGTGCAGGGTTCTGAAACTCGATAGAGATGTTTTAGCTCACAACTCCCAGATCGTTGTACTGTGACCGTCAACATACGGATCCATCATCATCTACCTCCATGACTTCTACTAATCCAGCCCTTCATTACCAATCAGCTGTTGGCTGTCTGCGGAACACGGACTCATCTGGGCCTTCATGGCGCCCATGCTTCTCATCGTCATCGTAAGTGTGATGAACTCTGCTTATCTTACACTGCAGCAAATCATATTCAATCAATGAATTGATCAATGTATTTGCAACTGTTTTTAGTGTTCATGTTCACTATGTCATTTTACAATCTTTATTCTTTAGGCATTTCACAACACCATATCCTTACATTAAACTGTTTTTCTACGATAATGCTACACCATATTCGAATTGACGTATAAATTGATTTTCTACGTTATCCTCCATTCTTCGCATGACGGTGTTCAATAGTTCTGCTGTGAAAACTGAAGATGTTATTGAACCACTGAAGATGTCCGAATTCCGACGGTGCAGTCATATACATGTGACAATTGTCAGTGAAAAAGAACATGTGGTCTTGACATTTCAATGTATCTTGCAAAGCCCTACAAGACCTCTCTATTTTTTCATTATTACATCCCCGTATTTGTTCCTGTTTGGGGATAGTATATGTGGGTGTAGCAGTTGATTTGGTGGCAGTTATTGTTTTGGTGGAAGAAATCACAACGATCTGGCAAATGGATAATACCGTGGAGCATTGATGCTGATGCCATGTGACAAATAGCAAATACAACATCTCCCTGGTACTCCCCGAAACAGAGAGTGAACTGACTTTTATTCCTTTACAATCGTCTGCGTTTTATGTTGCTTGTATAATATGTGTCGGCATATACAATTTGTGGCACGCCAAAGACGCGAGAGCCAGTCTGAACATTAAATCTGCCATCGGCTTCTACTCTCTGTGATCTGTGTATCTGCTGTTGTAGTTCAACCTGATCATCCTGGGTCTGGTCATCAAGGTGTTTCTGACTCTCAAGGCCAATTCACAGAAGTCAGAGGCTGCTCGGATCAGGTATACGTAGTAAACTACCCGCCAGTGTGTTGCACGGAATTACAAATTCCTTAGTTCTGAGTCTTTATTCAGATAGAGATCCTTAATTTCGATTTGTGAGTGTACTATTCCCATTGTCAAAAACATGGACGTGACAAACCTATAATGAAGCTTCGTGGTAGTCAATCAATCGTTTTATAACGTAACATTTTCATTTGTGACGCCATGGGATGACGAGGTGTCATACTTTTCACAAGGTCATATATTGTTTCAATCAAGTGTCCCTGGATCCGTTGACGCAATGTTGAAATCCAAGGCTTGCCCTGAAATTGATCCTTGGGTTATGTTCCGCTGCCTGCAGTTATCACGTCGGGCAATACTCACACATTAAACTGACGATAAGTACTGTTCCACGCAGCAACGCCCAACTCGCTTTGTCATCCCCAGAGCCAGCCTGAGAGCCATGTCCATGCTGCTGCCACTGTTAGGCGTCACGTGGCTGCTCAGCATCCTCGTTCCCTACAGCACCATCTTCCACTATCTGTTCGTCATCGGCAACTCTCTACAGGTAGACACACACACATATCTTGGCCCAGTGTCAAATATAGTATAAACAACAACGGCTTTATGCCCAGCCTCGACAGTATATTTGGATAAGATCGCCAGTGTTTGCTTGTTGCCGGTGTCATGAATTACCCTGGTGTAACAGTGTTTATATCCGGATAGGCTTTCAATCTAATCTTAAGAAAAATATGAATCTCTTTGCCGGTGAACATTTCAGCATATAGATATATTAAATCGTAAACTAAAAGCATATTATGCTTTGTTTGTTGTGTAACGCCAGTCAGCAATACACCAGGAACAGCAGGGCGTTAAATTCGCACACAAATCAGTGTGAAGTAATCGTTAATAGAACAACTAGAACATGCTCGTTTACCACATCCGTCTAATTATAGAACACTGCTCCTAACGAAACGTGGTTGCATAAAATTTAAGAAGTATGACTTCTTAAATGCCGATGTTTCCTTAAATTACCTCATCTATTAAAGGGCGGTCGGGGAGCCTAGTGGTTCAAGCGTTCGCTCGTCACGCCGAAGACCCGGGTTCGATTCCCGACATGGGTACAATGTGTGAAGCACATTTCTGGTGTCCCCAGCCGAGATATTGCTGGAATATTGCTAAAAGCGGCGTAAAACCATACTCACTCACTCACTCATCTATTAAATGTATCAGGGTTATAAATATATGACTATCTATCACTGTACAGACTTGATGTTTCGTTTCAGGGGTTGTTGATTTTCTTCCTGCACTGTCTCTGCAATGAAGAGGTGAGTTCCTCCATGGCTTGTGACTTTACCTTATATGTCAGTTATCGTGCACCCAGGAAATAGTATTGTATTATATGTTTTTCTGATGACTACAATGTCGGTGCACGTAACAATTTTAAATAAAAACCACCCCAAGCACAATTTATGACATTTACAACAAATACCAAATAAGTTTAATACAGTTCTAATTCTAACCATACAAAATTAGTTCAGAATTGTAAATCTTAATAAACTGGCACGAAAGGAAATCTAACTTTTTGACGTTGTATATATTCAGGTACGGAAATTCCTTGCTGCCAAGCGAGCCACACCCACCATGGGGACGGCCACCTCCGACATCGACGATAGCGCATTTTGGAGACGTCGACGGTCGGCGGCGGTAGGGTAGATAATATAGCTCGCTGGACTGTTCTATACTTGAACGTTTGAAAATCAGTGTGATGAGAACCAATCGCTTGTTTGGTAGTATTGTTAAATCTACGTTCTTCCTTCCCCAGATAGGTCGATATAGAGCAACACAAATGTTCTCAAACACTCTGTTGCCTGGAATAGGCGCATGTAGTCCTGGCGCAGGGACTCGCATTCAGAATAAGTCCCCCAGCAATCTCTGCTTGTCATTTGATACGACAAAAGGGGTCGGGTGGTCGGGATCCGTGTCTGACCTATTGCATGTCATCGTACCTCGACGACATGGGGCGTTGCTCAAAATATCAGACACTGTTGCAGATCTAGACGCGTAGTCACACATGTAGTTTGCACATTCCCAAAGAAACAACAAACAGACATATACAATTCCATGCGTCACAGCTATGTTGCAAGCTTTACAACTACTGTGGATACGTATGTGTACTTTACATCAACAAACTCGTTGAATCGACCTCAGTGAACCGACAGGTTTATGAAAGAAGATGGGATCTAATCATTCACATGAACGGCAGTCATGCGTGATCTTTTAACTGCACACACCTCGCCTTAAGTCACCAATACGGGTAATAACCTACATACGCGTACAATGCACATCATTACATGTCCCATGGCTGTTTCAATATTCGGTTTCAGGCTCTCAGCTTTGATGATGTACAGTCAAGATGTCAACCCAACCCACCAGGTGAATATTGAAATGATGTGACTCACTTATTTCTGAACTCGTTGTTTCAGTGTCAGAATACGGAATTCATTGTGGTTTTACAACAAGTGAATATGCACTTCCTTATAGATACGAGGGGCGTTCAATAAGTTTTGCAACTTCAATATAAGACCAAGTCGCAGAATATTTTTTGCACTTGTATTTTTCAATATAATTTCATTTGCCGGAACAGGAAATAGTCACTGAGGTCTAAGTCTGGGCTGTACAGTTAAATCACCCACCCTACAGCCCATACTTAGCCCCCAGTGACTATTTCCTGTTCCGGCAAATGAAATCTGCCCTACGTGGAAGACACTTCCACGATGACGAGGACATAAAGGCTGCCACAGAGGCGTGGTTAGAGTGCCAATCTGAGGATTTCTATAAAATTGGTATTAATAGCTTGAAGGACAAATTGAATAAGTGTATTGAGGTGAATGGAGATTATATTGAAAAAATACAAGTGCAAAAGATATTCTGCGACTTGGTCTTATATTGAAGTTGCAAAACTTATTGAACGCCCCTCGTATCTATAAGGAAGTGCATATTCACTTGTTGTAAAACCACAATGAATTCCGTATTCTGACACTGAAACAACGAGTTCAGAAATAAGTGAGTCACACCGTCACTTATAACGTCACTTATTAAACGCCCCTCGAACCTATGTGTGATCAAGCGTGGGGAGTTAACACTATGTTGTATCGCCAACTTCGAAATTCCGTTCAGTTAAAGGAGTCTCACACCTCCAGTCAAGGCAAAGGGGACTCTGTGGAAAATTAGGTTAGTCGTGTATTGCTATAGTGTTCAGCTGACTACAGTGCGCGTCAGCAGAGAGTCAATTTTGAATTTGGATTTGGATTTGAATCACGCACTGCCGGAGCAAGGTCCCATTCAAAAACTCGGTCTTTCTTATTGTAGGTCGCCGACACGCATGGATATGAACGTAAAGACACGAAGAGACCACCAAGGATTGTGCTTACGTACATGTAGTGTCTCACCCACGCGCATGTTGACTCTTGTGTGTTGCGGCATACCTGGTTACGTCAAGTGACCATGCCATTGTTGTGGATTCAATGTCGGACTGAAGGATGTTGACAGGCTACGCGCATACATGTGTGTCATTCATAAAGGAATAAAACTCATTACGAACACAACATGATTTACGTATATCAATTAAAACATCTATCGTTGATGAATAGAGCATTGAAACGTTGTACTTGGCGACTGGGATATTGATCGTCCGCAACTCGGCAATGTATGTATGTATGAAACTGTACACCTAGATCTGCATACACCGTGCACAGCTCATTGGCTGTCATGTTTACGTGTCAAGCAGTCTATCAGTCTAACTTTTCTTTGGGACTCAAAGCTTTAACAAAACAGACCACTCTCATGGCGGACCTGTGCAGCGATTCACACTTCACAGCGCACAGGATAGACATAGCATATTTCACTTAGTCAAGGTAAGGTATTTAGAGTTTTAAAAACCCCATTATCAGTGAATATTTGCCACATTGGCCGATTACACGATTTCGTGAAATGTATGTCATGTACATGTGGGTTGAAAACGACCGAGGAGATTTGTTTAACACACGATGTCTGCGTTCAACCCCCTGATGCCACCTACGCACGTTCACAACAGACTAATATTACCTGGGTACTCCAATAATAGTTTCTCTGTAATAGTATCAACAGTTCACTGTTGCACATATTATTGTGCGATTTTGATATTATCGGATTAGTTTCCGCTTGCACAGTGCAAATACGTTCACGGACCATTCAAGTCACGACTGGAAATTGGAATTCTTTTGTATTATTTATTAAGTGAATGCAAAATACCATCCGCGCTAGCACGGCGTCAACAGGTTTAACGTGCAGTGCACATGAATCACCGCAATGATGAGGGTTAGCGAAGTGTGGCGATGTTGAAACGTGGTGGCACATGGTCCTGTGCAGAGAGGACAGGTCACAAATCAGGCGAAGGTAAGCAACGTCGGTCGTGGAGAGTCTTTGGATCACAGATCCTCGTTATTTGTCAGTAAATAAAAATATATACCCCCTATACGTAAGTAGAGAAAAGGGGCGTCACTCGCCATATTGCCGGTTTGTTTACACACAGGTCGATGTTTTTTATGTTGACATTGTAAATATCGGCCAACCTTTAGAATTTATATCACTATAAAGCAATATATATCACTGTTTAATGAGCCTATATTAATGTATATTTGTTGTGCTTAACAAAATGAGGATGATGTTTCAAGTAATGTAGATCTCTATTTTATTTATTATTAATGCAAACGTAATAAATCTATTTGGGAATAATAGGGATAACTGTAACAACATTCAAATGAAAATAAATGAATACAGTGTTTCATTTAAAGGTTTGGGTGATCCTGGCAGTCAGGCTGGTTCGGCTCATCTATTACTGGCATGACATTGTAATATGTAATTAGATAATTAAAGGGAAGCTAAATCATGAAGTTATTAAACGAGGGAATACATAGCTTGAGTTGATATTCACCTACCGTTGATACTCCGAGGTGAGAGCAGCACTAGGCCACGAGGTCAAGGGGTCTATCAGGTATCGTGGTAAGAATAATAAGATTAGGAATAACATATTGTGAAGTAGGAACCGGGTTTTAAGGTGAGGGAAGACCCGAAATCTGCAGTCTGGTGCGCGTCCGCTCTTGCCTTACAGTCACTAAACTCGTACTCTGAAACAATAATATTCAGACACCAGACTTGTGCTGAGACTGAAGCCTTGTGGCCGAAGTCTCTTAATTGAGTGACTAGTAGAGTGGGTTGACCAGCTACACAAAGTGTGAATAAAAGCTGTTGAAGAAGAGCTTCCTTTTGTGATTGTTGCGTGAACTACGGTAACAAAGATCCAAGGTGCCTTTGGTACTGACATAGTACCTCTCGCTGATTCCAAAGTTGTCAGGACCCGGAACGAGGGTTTACCGGATGTACGCAAAGTCACCTTCCAATTACGATTTATTAACACTCTAAAATACCTTAGACACATCATCAGCTCAGAGCCCTTGCCCACTCTACACGCAGCCCCGACAGCGAATGGGACGTCTCACTGGAAGTGCGGCCTAGTCGAACAAACCAAGAATTTTTCGGAGAATGTGAAGACTCCCCAACACTGCAGTCTTCTGCATTACCCAGATTGTCAGAAGGTCTTTATATCTGGCAGCAAGCCCGGGTACTCTCCCGATGTCAGACAAAAGATTGGGAGGTACCAAACCTGAGATACCGAGAGCAATGGGGAGTCGCACAACTTGGTACTTGGGATGCAAGCGTGACATTTCGAAAGCAAAGTCCGCATATTTGCCATGTTTTTCCTGAATCTTGTCAATCACATTAGTGTCAAAAGGGACAGAAAGTTCAATAACATAAATGATTTCATTAAATTTATAAAAAAGGACGACGTCAGGTCTATTGGCCTGGATAGGTCTGAGGCTGCATTCGGGCCTATTCCAAACAATTTGGTATTCATCATTTTCTACGACACCTTCTACATATGCTGGGTCGCACCATGGATGGACCTCTGTGTAAAAAAACACATAATGGCGAAGAAGGTAATAAAAGGATCAAGCCACTCCATCATGTCAATTAAGATTCTGTGTTTGATGACATCTGATGACAATGTGTTGGACAGTCTCATTGAATTAATTGCATGATCTACATTTCATATTTACATTTGGATGCAAAATCAACTAGACTGGTCATCAGCAGCAAACATAAAACCTTTTGTTTCACTGTTCAGGCCAGCCGACTCCAAAGGACTCCGCAGAATTGCTGATATTCTTAACACATTGCACATAAACTCGATAAACTGGGCGTTCAGATATGATATGATATGGCACGTCGCTTGGTTGACACTAATTTCTGTACCGCCCAGCAGTACAGAACCATCAACTAAATCAACATTGACATTGAGATTATGTCCCACATCCTTGGCTCGTTTGAGAAATTTGCGAATGTCTTGGTTTCATCATGAGTCTTGACATGCTTCACAAGAGTATCATTAGACAAAAAAAAACGTGTGAGTGGACAATAAAATAAATCCTGTCATGAAGAGCTCCCCGTTAATCATGCCGCGCCCTCCCATTATAAAAGTGTTAATCTAAAGCTTGTGATAACAACTTGCATCATGTTTGATGACTAAACCAAATGATTATATCTATTCTTTGCAATACCCTCCAAGGACATAGATAAGTAATGGTGCTTTTCAACACACAGAACTTTTCACATGATATTAGGGGTGGCCCAGTCGTCTAAGGCGCCGCGATTCGCTGTGCATAGTTGCGTCCCTTGGGCACGCCAGAAACCTATGATTGTGGGTTCGAATCCCGGTTCGCCCCGATTATGTTTCTAGGTTTGTCAGCATCATACCCGTGCTCGTGGGTTTCACCGAAGTGGTAAACGTCTGAGATCTGCACCACTTCGGGCTTTCTTCCAACATTAAGCTGACACGCCGTGATATAACTGGAATACTGTTAAAAGCGGCGTTAAACACAATTCACTCACACTTTACATATGTTCAACCAGAAGAATCAAGATGGTATGACGATAAGCGTTCGAAAAATGGATTTGGCCTCGTCTTAGACACTCATATTGATTTTACAGCTAACTTGCCACCTGTTGAAACTTTACTTTGTGATGCTAGAACTGAACGACTTGGTGATTACGCTGATGATAATTTCAGACATTTAACAGATGATGATGGTTTAATAACGGAACTAGTATCAGATGGTTTTGACAGACCTAGGTTCTCCTCTGACCAGCAACCTAACAGATTTGGAAAATCTGTAATTGTTGAGGAACTAACGAATAATTGTAATTAATACACCTGACATTTGACAGATTTAGATTATAGCTTCAACATTAGGTAACTAACGCATTCTACAGAAGGCCTGAGTCCCTATATATATACGGAGTCCAGTGGCCATGAATAAAGACTTTAAGGGACGCAGCAGCCTTCTCTCTGTTTTAAGGTGATAGCCGAATAATCAGCTCTACCAAGTTAATTCCCCCACTATCTTGGACATTGTGACGTAGCAATCGGGACCAGGCCCAGACAAGGCAAAACGGTCCCAAACCAAGCTACCTCAATAGTGTACGGGACTCGGTTGTACTTCATCCAGTTTGTAGTGGCCACTGTCCAATTTGAGCAATCATAAAATACAGAATCCCTAAATGTCATTCCTTTAAACGTAAAGCGTATAATTATTCCTTACCAGACCTGACCGCCTCCGTGGTCTAGTGGTAGGGCGTCCGCCCGGGGAGCGGAAGGTCTGGGGTTCGATCCCCGGCCGCGTCATACCAAAAGACGTTTAAAGATGGTTACAATGTCTGGCCCTCGGCATTAAGGGGCTAAAACAAGGACTTGTCGGCTCGGAGTCAGTATACTGTGTCTGAGTGGGGTATTCCTGTTAAACTGCAGCATGGTATCTCAGTGAGCTAGCACTATAAATCGGCATCAGTCCGGACTAGTTCAAGCAGCCATACACACATGCATGCACGTCGCTATATAAGTGCAAAAATCTTGGACGCGACGTTAAACCCAATTTCATCTCACCTCACCTCACCTTAGCAGACCTAGAGAGTTTAAACACTGACTTGCTGAATATTGATAGTGGTTTATTATTTTTCCTCGGGAGATGTGAATACCGATGAACTTACATTTCAAATTATAAAATACAGGTTTATGATAAACATATACCTAATTAAACTATCACCATACGATCAAAGGATCCACAGTGGATCTATAATGAAATACGCTCCTTAATAAGAAAAACGAAATTTCCAACATGAGAAAAACGTATTACTTCAGCTGATTGGACAAAGTTTAGGTTGTTAAGAAATAAAGTAATTTACTATGTCCGTAAGGCAAAGAAAACATGCGCATCTAAAAGTGATACTGTGATTAATAGTTCTGAAGGTACGGTGGCTTGGTGGCGTTTAGTAAAATAATTCTTAAATCTTGAACTGCAAGACACAATTTCCCCCAGTTGTATTTGGGGATAGGTTGTATGATAATTCAATGGATATTGCTATTATTATCAATAACTTTGGATCATTTAGTGTTTATTATTTATATCAATGGCATTGTTGAAGGAATAAATCGTAATATGAGACGGCAGGGTACATAGGTCCTGGGTTAGAATGAACATCACCACAACAAAGTAGACAAGCTAATAAAAAGACATAGCGTTCCAAAGAAGCGAGTAATGTATTTCATTTCACGCATGTGGTTATCGAGTAAAACAATTCAAAAGCACACGGCCACCGCCAGCCTGTACTGATTATTAGCAACCGGCATCGTCAATGCAAACTGTAAAGAGAATTGTTACATTAAGGCTGGCGATGAGACCTTGACAAGTACCATAGTCTTACTGAATAACGCACGCAAACTATTGTAGGACGGAACATGAATTAGACATGAGAAATTGGATTATTCCAATGCCCCAAAATAAAGAAAATCGAAAAAACAACCAAAGAGTGTAACACCTCTGTGTACCTGAACACCAAGTCGTGGTGGTGGCAAAGTAACCTACAGAACCGGGCGATCAACAGTAACAGAGTCAGACAGAGTCGGACAAAGGAAGGCGGCGAAGGCACGTTGACTCTGGGGCAGCTGATGGGCTGGACTGGCTAGTCAGTGTTCGTCTCTCCTTGTCCCTGGTTTGCCTTTCTGCTGCTGTGACTGCGCTTCTTCTATGGTTGTCGGCTCTGTCTTGTTACCCAAACCTGCCTGCTTTTAAAGGCAGCAGTTTATTATTCTGCTGAGCTGGTCAGTTCTGATTAACTTGATATTTGTAATGTCAGCAATTATGCTGGTTATCTACATGTAAGTATGTCAGCTGGCCGATTATTATTCTGCTGAGCTGGTCAGTTCTGATTAACTAAATATTCGTACTGTCAGCAATTATGCTTGCCATCCAAACTCGTGGAATACACAGAATTGGTCTTCTGTTTCTCACTGTTCATGTACTTTGGACCCTTTGCTATGTCCAACGACTAAACAGTGTAGTTGGTACAGCTCCCAAAATTCCCATCACAAATAGTGTTACAAGAGTCGGTTCACAATACATGTGTAGAAAATGGAGTAAATAATCCTGAGTTGGGGCCTGTTGCAAGGTAAATGTAAATAATATATTGTAGGAAGAGTAGAAAATTAAGGAAAATTGTCTGAAGTTTTAGGAAATAAATTAATGATCACAGAGTCATGCAAACAGTCGGAAAAAGCGAAATATATAAGATTTGAAAAGAGAGAAACCCTTATCTACAGTAACCGAAGTGACCCGGTCACGGTGACATATATCATTGACATAATACTGACGCAACTACACGAGAAGCTCGTGCTGGCTTGGATACTGTAGCAGCTTACCAAAAAACAATCAATTAGGGTAAGAATGTTCAGTATTTGAATATATCAACAATCGTTTAATGAGTTTAGCTTCAAAATGATATACATATAATTTGAACAATGCAGCGTAGTGATAGATTACACCGGGGTTTCCTCGTGCAATATAGCGTGTGCAATGAAGCATGTGCATGCGCGCCCCAGAATATGGAAAATCGATAAAATCAAAATTCATCCACAATACAAGTGAAAAAGAAAGCGAAGATAGTCCTGAGTTGGGGTCTGTGCAAGGTATATGTACATAACATATGTTTTAAATAAATTAAGGTCACAAGGACAAGCAAACAAGCAAACCCTTGTCTACAGTAACCTGAGTGACCCAGTTTCCCGTTAATGGCGTCAGGTGTGTAGGCCGATCATGGGGACATAGAAGGCATAATATTTTCGTGCTGGCCAGTGACGTTGATAATGTGACAAAAGGACTGGGAGACTGTAGCAGCTAACCAGTCAATGTTTAGTGTTAAGCACGATATCTGTATTTATCATATAATGGGTAGGTTTCTCGGCAGGATAAAGCCTACGGATAAAAACGATATCCGTTGGGGTCATATGCGGATAGAGATGCAAATATCAAAGGTCAAGTAGGACTACTTTCACTGTTTATAAACAAACATGGCGTCGCCCTCGTCATTCGGCGATCGAGTCAGAATTAACCATCGGGAATCTGGATAAACTAAAGGTATAATTGCTATCATTATCAAAAGAACAGTCTAATATACTGAAAATCAGTGTCTAGCTGTGACGTAGCTAAGGCATTTTATAAGTTTTGGCAACTATAGAGATATACATTTCGAAACAATTTTGCAAGGGCACGAGGCCTAGCCAAATCTGTGCTTGTAGACCTCTGTGGCTTGTGACCTTCTCCACAAATTAAAATAGTTGGATTTTGCCGAAATATGTTTGAATTGTTACCTTGTTTCGTTTTGTTGCTGTGTGTACATCTGGCTTCACTTTATAACAGGACAGACCGACTGTCAACAACGTCTGACCGTGGCCGTGACGTGTCATAGACTAGGGTTAGAGTAGCTTCCCTTTGACAAAGGGCAGTTACTCTAGCGGACAGACCGATAGATTGCCGCGAAAGGCAATTAAAAACAACTGAGCCAAGGCTCGCTTAATACAATGTTTATTTCTAATGCAGGATATTTACCATCCCCAAACACACTCGCGTGATAACCTCTATATATCAACAATCTTCCAAATGAATTTAGCTTCCAAATAATATACATTTAATTTGAACAATGCATTGTAGTGGAAGCCAACATTGTCAGGGTTTTCTCGTGCAATGGAGCGTGTGCATGTACTCTGGGTCTCGGAGACAGGGAATGACATAGCGCATCACCTAATGAGTCGATTCGATAGGAAACAAAATGTAAGATAAGACAATGCAGTTAGGTTGTTCATAATCAGTGCTATCGTATATGTCTTATGTGACACCCTTCCTTTGCTCTGTTCGTCTCCATAATCAAGTTCACATAATACAAGAAGCTACGTTTGAGATGCGACATTACCCAGTGAATACACAGTAATATGTCCATGATGATAATGGGTGTTAAAATTCATTCATTGGATTGTCAATTGTTGAAAAGAAAGTAACACATATTACAAGGTAATATGAATCATGCATATGTTTCGAGAGGACGTAAGTCCGGTACACAGGAACTGCATGACATAGTATATTTTTAATTCCTAGCTGTGTCGTCGACGTCGTCGTTGTCGACTTCGTCGGTGTATTCCAGAAAGCCTGTAGTTCCCTGGGATAGGTTCATCCTCATCTTCAGTTTGAGAGACTCTATCACTTAGTTTGACACTGCCGTCGAGCTACTTCACAAAGATGATTCTATGTCGAGCCCAGGTGCCAGCTATTCTTTTATCTGCTGCCAGTTTCCGAGTCTCAGTTGCTAGTGGGATCGTCGTTGATGAAGATTCTCGGTGTTTTGTTCTTTAATATCGAAAAGTTCCTCATGACACTCCTCTTACTCCTGTAAGAAAGGAACTTCACCAGAATTGGTCGGGGTTTATCACTTTCCTTTAGTTTATCGAATATTGACTTTAGTTTGACGTCTAAGTTTGTATTGATTTGCGGGATAAGCATAGTCGTCAGAGTCTGGCCAAATTTCTCCTGAAGTTCAGGCGAATTAAAGGCCTCGATTATCTGTGGTGTTATCTCGTTGGCCATGGCTGACGTGTCAAAGCCACTTACACTAGCCAAAAACACAGAACTGTCTTCTATTTAAGGACGTTGATACTCCTGACTGGAGAATTGGGCGAACTGCAGCGACGTTTTGACAAATTTGCCGAGTCAGACATTTAGCCTTAATTACAATTACGAGCAATATGTTTCGTGTCCGCATGGCAAACAAAATAATTCCTGATACACACTTGAGGATAGAATTGTGTATATTAATATAGATATAGACGCAGTGAAGCAATAATACTCACTCGAGTTACATACGAGTTCAGTTCAGTTCAGTCCCTCACTGTTCAAAATGGCGTCATTGGTGATGGTACGCATAGGTTTTTCTCAATCCAGTGATATGTTCAATATTTCAATCCATCCATCGAAATTTTGTCACTAGACCCAATAGTTAGTCCACATAAATTATCCCGACAATGCTTATTTCATTCCCCACTCAGGATTTATTTGACATTTTGAACGGGAGCCCATCACCAACACGTCCACTCAGTTTTCCCATCATGCAACTGTCAATGACATTTGGTAACGTTTTTCAAAATGAATAATCATTTCTCACCTGAATATCTTTGTAGGCTTATTCCTAGTAAGTTTCAGAAAGCACACATTATAACATAAGGGATAAAGCTAATCTTTAACAAAACAAAACAAAAGCAAATGCAAATTCATTTATACCAGCTACAACACAACTTTGGAATATGCTTCAAGAAAACCTAACGGTTGCAGAGACCGTAACACAATTTAAGAAGTTGCTACATGGAAGGGGAGATAATTGTGTACACTGGGCTTTAAATTATGGAAATAGGTTATGTCAAATTATTCACAGTCGCCTAATGTTTGGCTGCTGCGATTTTAACGCAGATCAGTTTAATAGACATATTTTGGACACTAAAATTTGTTCCCGTTGATATCGTAGCGAAGATTCTTTACATTTCTTTTTGTGTGTACAATGACTATTTTCTTCGAAATGAAATGTATTTTTACAACATGTATACTCTTTACAAACAGTGCTAGACGAAAATTCGTATTTGAGTAAGGAAGATCAAATCGAAATATTAGATTCTATACAAAACTTTGTATTAAGAAATGGCAGGTTCTCATTTAAGTAAATGAATTGATAAACATATGCTGCAAATATTTTTATTATATCATCATAGAGCAAAATAATATTCAAAATTTATAAAATACACAAAGGTATCTATGCAGTCAATCGTCGGACTTCTCACATGAATGAGAGTAACTCACTTAGATTGTAAAAGCATGCCGCCAGACATAGTTGTACAAGTCGGCTATAATATCAGTCTGAAATGCTGCCGGCTCAACTAAACGCCAGCCTTTGTTTTTTGTTTGTTTGTTTTTTATTACCATAATTCGCTAAACGGTAGACACAAGTTACATGTAGGTAACCTATGAGAATATTGTATCAACCAGGAACAACACATGGAGTAACAAAGGAACTAATGGTGACAATAAATAAAATAATGTCTTCAAAACTTAACCAATCAGAGATTGCTATGCGTCCTCCACTATATAAGTAGGTGCAGTTTGACTGTGAGAAAGAAAGCCCTAAATTGGTCAAAAAGGGATAAATTAGCCTTCCGTGTTTCTAAACCACTTTCTAAATGGCATTGTGTATTCATAGCTTTCGGCCATGGGAGCCGTGCCAATTTACACTTTTCAGGGGGGTACTCAAAGTACGTTATCTAGACTACCAGTTGTCGGACTTTCATTTTGTGGAAGCCTCGGTGGCTGACTGGGTTAGATCACTGACTTTGTGTACTGGCGATTAGGCGCCTCACCCTGACAGGTGTGGGTTCGAATCCCGGACGGGACTCAACCCAAAAAAGTACTAGAATCTGTACTTCACTAAGAAAGTGTTATCCCAAATATAACAGTAGTTAAATTATAGTTCTGTTAAAAACTTTATTGATCACAATATTGCAGTTATATTTCTGTCGGATGTACACAGCGTACACTATCTAGCATTGATAATAAAAGACCAGTTTCAAAAAAGGTTCATCAGGTTGTTCAATCAAGGCTTGTTTTGAAAAGTTGTTGATACTGACAGACAGCCACCTTCGTGCATCAGCATAGGCATGCATTTCACATTGAGAAGAGGAAACACGGAAAACCTGTCAATTGTTTTATATGTCATTCGAAAAAAATGCCAAAACCTATAACAACAACATAGACAGAATGTACAGAAGTCATGTTTGTTAGAGAAAAGTTACAAAAAGTAGGAAACTTTTGAAAAGTACGATTGCTGTCAGAGTGTCAGAATGAATGACTCAACTTGACCCAGATGTAAGACAGCCAAAACCAGGAATGACATGAGAACCGGCGTTACAGTTTAATTCGGACAACAAGTTTAATGAACATCGTCTGTCATTTGAGACAAATGTGACGCATGGGAAACATGTGGGATTTTAGGAGGACTTGTCATACACGCTTGTGCAGTTGAGACAGCCTAATAGATGACAGGAGTTTGTTGAATTTTGTATGTGATTCATAATGGTCGAATAGCTGTTGATAGACAAACACTGTATCTTGAGCATTGGTGCCAAGCTGTCCACTATTTAGTTCAATATCGGACATAGGATCAGCTCGCTGTGGTAAGTATCCTTTTCCTTGTATTTTTAATTAGTTTTGATTTTATTTCGAAACCTCTCCGAGTTCAGCAAAGTGCATCGATTTCGAGAGCAGATGTTGGTAATCATGTCGCTAAGGTTACGATGTTATACTTAACCCACTTCATAGTAGACAGTTCGAATTCTGAACCGTCTGATTTT